AGTAGTAAAATTATAAATATTATTAAGTATTTCTGTATTAATCTAGCTAATATTAATATTATATCTAGTATAATAAAGAGAATTAAATAATATTTATTATAAGATATATTTTTCTCTTCTTAGAATACTGGTAATATAATATTAAAATATAAGTATTATAATAACAGCTAATATTATAAAAAACTTTTTTAATAATATTAAAATTAGTATTAACAGTACAGAGATAATATATATAAAAAAAATATTAAATTTTAATAAATTATTTTTATAACATGCAAATCTTCTTCTTAGAAACTGTTTTAAAAAAATATATTAAAAAATCTAATATAAAATATATAATTTAAAAGTAAATAAAGTAAGAAATAAATATAGAAAAACACTTAATTACTAAGTAATTAGTATATAATAATAGAAATAATAAAAGATATATGAAATAATAATAAAAAGTAAATGAAATAATTTTAAGAGATTAAAAGAAAGATAACTACAGGATAAAAAAAAGAAAAAGAAGTAATATAAGAAATTTTATTATTTATATTATTTTATAATAGATTTATTTATACAAACATAATTAAATACTTATAAAATTATATAAAAGTAGTATATAACTTTAGTTATATTATATATTCTATAAATTCTTTATCTTTTATTATTAGATTTTTATTTTTCTGAATTAAAAATATATAAGATTATTTTTAATACCTGAGTTAGATAGCTCATCCCAGTAAAGAAGAGTGTTATTTATAATAGAATAATTTAATTATTAAGATTAGAATTATTAGAATAATATATTATAATAATTATAAAAGTTATAAGATTATTAATAATAATTCTACACTTCTCTGATATTTATAAAATGCTGATTTTTCTATAATAAATTACTGATTTTTTAAGAATCAGTCTATCTCGTGGATATAGACTACCTTTGTTATTATTAGATAAATATATAGTATTTAATGGCTGATTCCTTATCTAGTTGACAGGCTTTCTATTCTGACAAGTAGATCCTATCACACTAAACTAGAATATACTAGAATATTAAATATAGAAAAAAAGAAAAAAGTATAGGATAATATATATAAATAATAAAAGTAAATAAATAAGATAAAGTAAATAGAATAAATAAATAAGATTATGTGTAATTAATAAAGTAAATAAAAACTATATTATATATTATATCATGTGACTCAGTCATGTTGCTTGCCATCATAAAATCAACCCAATTTAATATTTTATTTATGTATATATAATACCATAAATCAGGATTAATTATTAATCTAGTATCTATATCTAGATATATTCAAATATTAAAATATATGAGAAAGCTCACACAACACTTCTATAGATCAATCCGACTCACAAACTTTTATATTCAAATATTCATAACTTTTTTGTTTTTCATATATACTATATGTCATATCTCAAGGTCTACAGGGCGGCTAATACTATAACATCTTATTGTCATCTTCTATCAATATTATCTTTATAACTATAACTATTGATAAATCGCAGGGGCTTTTCTGAAAGATGGAATAGTTCCACATAACAGATATATCCCAATTAATAGTGTGATTTAGATACTCCAACGAAACGAATAATAACCGGATAGCTTTCTAAAAGCAGAATATGAAAATTCGATATAGTATAGTAATCCGTCGCCGACCTTCAAAACACGACGGCCGTAGTAACGACTAACATATGACCAAGACGTACTCAGTGAACTACGCTAACTATACAGTATTTCATCTACCCGCTTGGATTTCATAGGTCAAGTCCGTGAGAATACATAGATATACGCGAACTTCTTCATCTCTTGTATATCATCCACCTGAACAACCTTCTCATCATTGAACATGACCCACGAAGTACCATTACTTCCTGGCACAGGCTTACGCACGATAGCGACATAGTGCCTGTTGACCGTTAGTTCAAACCCATCAAAGTGACAGACATACATACCCAGCATGCACGGATGAGCCTTTATGGCACACTATTGACTGTAATTGGTATTTCGCTGGCGTGGCATCAGAGTCTTGACATTTATCACTGGGTTCAGGGATGTCAGAGTCTGAGCTGAGGTCCATTGAATCCTCCGGATGGGTGAACACCCAATCAATTGCCCTGTTGAGATCCCCGTCCGTCGCTGCCAATGCCCTCCTGGCATGACTAGAATTTATGCCCATTTCAGTCAACTGCGCAACTTTAGCTGGGTCTTGCTGGCTCCCTGAGGTGCTGGTAACCATCTTATCGAGCGGCTCATCGATATCAGGGTCTTCCATGTGAGCAAAGAGCCAATTCATGGCAGCCTCAACATCCGAGTTGCCGGTCATATAGAGCGCCTTTTCGCACCTTGGGTTCGGAAAACCCATGGCAACAAGCTGCTCAATCGCGATTTCATTGGGCTTAAACGCATTTTCAGGTTCCTGGGTTTCAGGCAGAAGCTCCTCATTTGGATCAGGCCCGGAAGAGAGGTAAGTACCAAATTCTATAGGCTCCTCATCAACTTCTACCGGAATATTCAGCTTTGTAGGTACCCAATTGATCAGCTCGAACCTTCGCGCATTGATAACCAACTTCTGCGGTAGGGTCTTAAAAGAAGTTTTCTTACTGAACCCTTCCGTGGAACCGCAGGACGGGCAGCTGAATTCAACGACTTCTTCGGCCGTGAATACATCCAGACATTCTGCTAGCGTGACACTCTCATACTCGTTCATGGAGTCAGAAGCATCTGCATCGGGGAGTCGACGAGCGGGAACAGGGATTGAAATGTTATCCTGGGCGTCCGCCCTGTAACGAACCTTCTTGCACCGTAGACATTGGAGACGCTGCTGCACAGAGAAGCCGAATGAGGTGATTGGGTTATCTAAACCTTCGGGATGCTTGGACAAGCTGATCTGCTTGAAGAGGTGGAGCATAAATTCGAACGCATCCTGTTGTCTCATCGTCGAGAATTCTTCATGATTACGGCCGACGAGATGTTTGAACATAGCGGGTGCTAAACCCTTCTGATGAGGAACTTCAGCTGAATCAGGTGAAGACCTAACATCGCTATCGGGTCGGGAATATCTGCCAGAGAGGATGCCGTCGGCCAGCTTCCGCAGTTGGGTTTCAAGGTCCTCGGCTGGCCTCTGCGTGTGCGGCGGCTCGCTGTTGGGATGGTAATATCGTTTTTGGAACTCAGGCAAGGCGAAAAGACATTGGACAACACTTGAGAGATAACAGCTGTTTCCTAAGTTAGTCAAGCCAGTTAAACCTGGTCCAAACACAGGTGTAAGTTCATGGCCGTCCTCAGAAGTCATCGAAAATTCCCATCTCATATTATGCTCCACTTGCATTTCCATAAGGCTCTTCTCTGTCTTCTCACGGCTCGCTAGATTGATGCCCCAATTGGCAAGATGGGTAGCCAGGTTAGGATCGGTCCTTTCTTCATTGCATCTATAGCAATACACGTCAGCCGAACCATCTGCAGTGATAGAGCCCAGCTTCACTGCAACAGCATGCGACTCCTTGTCAGAATGCGCAAGTGCATGCGAGTTTCCTCCCACTCCGCCAAACTGACTGCGACCGCAGCCAAGGTTTCCGCATTCTAGACATAGCCAGAGGTTCTCTTTAAGGTTACACATGGAACACTGGACCAGCTCTGACGTGCAATTGTGAGCATTATAGTGAGGGTAATGTAAAAAGAGAGGAGCAACGCACCCTTTGATTCAATCTGTCTTGATGCTCCCTGTATGAGATTAATGGTGTGTTCGCAGGGGATGAACTCCTGCTCCCAGGCCTTGACTTCCTCTCTTTTGGAGAAGGTCATCGCTTTCATCACGCCATCAATTACAGCTGGCAGCCTACCCCTGGAAGCGTCGAGATCACTCTGACGGCAAGGATAACAGACAACACGTGTTTTCGTGTCATAGCGGTCCTCATCAGTTTCAGCTGCGATTGCAAGCTTCGAAATCTTCTGCGGTGGCTCATCTCGCTGTCATTGCATCTTGTCAATCACATGCAACCAAAAAAGTATAATTCAGACAAGTGATATTGGCACACACCTGGACCTTTTTACGTGATCTTCTGATGTTGAGCGCTAGAGGGTGACTGCAACGTTCATAGTGGAGAAATGCATGATTTCTATCACCAGCGCAACCTCCATTGAAGCATGTTAAACAAACATTAAGCCCATGTTCATCGTCCTGGATATTTTGTTAGGCGTCAAATTGATAGAAAAACAATGGGTACACACTATTGAGTCGAAACACTGTGTACAGTCCTCTCGATATACAACCTGCGACGTAGCCGGTTCCCTCAGTCCTGCGATGTAGATAATGGTTAGAAACCTGTATGAGCACTGTACTCCAGCTTTGGCTATAGTCGCAACTGACCTTCAGACGTGACATGGCTACAAGAAGCCATCATGAGGAGTGCTGAAAGCTAATGTAGAAGCCTGATACAACTTATTAAATGACAGCAATCAGTCCGAGTCCCACGATGCAATGACTTTCAGTAAGAGAGCATGCGTCCTCTCCATACATAAAAGTTATTGTATAAGCATAAGGCGGCAGGTGAAATTCTTCAATATCTGCTTTGTCGAGGCTTTGACTGTTAGGTATGTAGAAAGGTGGGGTAAAGTGGGAGAGATCTTCCACTAAGATACGTAGTGTATTGTGTAGACGGAGTACTGTGACGGGGTACCGGTTTTCATATGGATGTATGGTGTATTACGACATCTGCTCTGTACTACTAACCTTTGACCATTAAACACGTAATATTCGCATTCCAAAGTGGGGTGGGTGCTTAACGCGCTCCTGCCGCGTACTACCCCGGGTCGCGTCTCCATTTGTTGTTCATGCAAATGTCCTTCAGCAGTAGCAGGATTGTACCAGTACCACCAAGACCGCCACCTGCTGTTCATCATTCCAAGCTCTGAATTACACCACCCCGAGACATTGCTTGTATTTCTTTATTCTAAGTCTGTAGGACGGCACAAGGTTACCTTGAAACTATTTCAGATGTCTTCAGAAGCAGCATCTCAGGTCTCCGTTGGGGCACTCAGGTCAGTTTCCTGGAACTCCCTGTGCATTATCTCACTAATTCCCCTTAAGCGCTATCTTCGATGATACAAAGCCTCAAACGCGTGAGCCTATTGTTCAATGTGTCCAGATAAAGCAATTGCCATCTCAACAGAGCCACCCGGAACGCTACCGAGCGGTATTCAGTGACATTTCAAATTATGTGCAGACGATGCTTGCGACCCGTAAGTGTGCCATAACCCTGATGACTTGCCTAAGACACTGCCACTAACCTTGATCTTCCAGAATTGAACCCCATGGTGTCTAGTGCGCTATTACGGAAGGGATGTTTTGTTCGCCTGAAGTCGTTCCAAGCGAACTCCGTGAAAGGCAAAAAGTAAGTGACTACTGACGTCTTCACCACCAATGATATACCTTACATACGAGATAGGATCCTTATTATTCTCGACCTTGAAGTCTTGGAGGGATTGGGGGAGGCCGAGAAGATTGGCGAACCAAAACCACTCGAAAGTAAAACAGATGAAGACGACAAGCACCAACCCACTACAATCTCCAGCAACGGTTTCTATGGATCGAAGATGTCAGGCGCACAGGCCCAGTCAAATACCGGAGTGCAGTCAGCACGACCTGTTTTGGCCGCAGCGCATGCTACTATATATCCCATCGAAGCTATTTCACCATATTCTCACAAATGGACGATCAAAGCACGCTGTACGAGCAAGACAAATATCAAGACTTGGCACAATAGGAATACCGAAGGGAGGCTCTTCAGCGTCAATCTACTGGACGACAGTGGCGAAATACGAGCTACTGGATTCAACGACCAATGCGACATGCTGTATGACGTCTTCCAGGAGGGCGGTGTATACTATATCTCCAATTGCCGCGTGCAAATTGCCAAAAAACAGTTCACGAACTTGAACAACGATTATGAGCTGACTTTTGAAAGGGATACGGTGGTTGAAAAGGTTAGTCAGAGTGCTCGGTTCGCATTGAACTCTTAACTTACCATGTCGCATCAGGCAGAGGATCAGAGTGATGTTCCCCAGGTTCGATTCAATTTCACTTCTATCGGTGACCTCCAATCGGTAGAAAAAGATACTACGATCGATGTGATAGGCGTGCTGAAAGAGGACATGGGGGTTTCACAGATCACATCCAAAACTACAAACAAGCCCTATAACAAGCGCGAGCTGGTCATGGTTGACAATACCGGATTCTCTGTTCGCCTGACTATCTGGGGCACTACAGCTCAGAATTTCAACGCCTTGCCCGAGTCTGTAATAGCTTTCAAAGGCGTGAAGGTCTCTGACTTTGGCGGGCGTAGTCTGAGTTTGCTGAGCTCGGGTTCAATGGCGGTTGATCCTGACATTGAGGAAGCCCACAAGCTCAAAGGCTGGTATGACGCACAAGGCAGAGATGAGAATTTCTCTTCACATGCTTCCTTATTAGGCACAGCCTCATCAACGATGAAGTCGGACCAGTTCAAGACAATCGCCCAAATAAGAGAGGAGCAATTGGGTATGTCGGAGGAAGCGGTTTACTTTTCGCTGAAAGCAACAGTCATCTACATAAAGCAGGACAACATGTCCTTTGCTTATCCTGCTTGTCTCTCAGAAAATTGCAACAAGAAGGTGACCGAGCTTGATCCCGGCCAGTGGCGCTGTGAGCGCTGCGATAAGACTCACCCCCGACCAGATTACCGCTACATAATGCATGTTAATGTCAGCGACCATACCGGCCAACTTTGGCTAAGCTGCTTTGACGACGTGGGCAAATTGATGATGGACATGTCAGCCAATCAGTTAATGGAACTGTTCCAGACGGATGAGAAAGCAGCTGGCGACGCATTCCAGGATGCCAATTGCCGGACCTGGAATTTCCGATGCCGTGCCAAAATAGATCATTTCGGCGAACAACAACGGTAAGGCAATCCGTTCCATGGCTCAGATGGCACTGCTAATATTCACTCTACCAGTATACGGTATCAGGTATCCTCGGCCAACCCGATAAATTATTCCCACGAGGCTTCACGCCTTGCCGATCTTATTGAATCTTACAATGTATCTTGAATATGCTTTCAGCATGCTGAAGGCTTCTTGAGACTCCCCTTGCAAGCATTGTGCATCTTTATTTTTACAACACTCTGTTCAATGAAATTTTCAAAATTTGTGGCTTTGGGATTGCGTGACATCGGCTGCTGTCACTAAGATAGGATGCAAACCAGAAACGATGATGGATCTTGAAAGGTGCTACAAACTGAACAAAGAAAATATAAGCCAACGTTGATTCTGTGATACCACACTTGACTAGCATTAGCTGTCGCTTGGACTTACAAAAATAGCCACGCTGATTTGCACCCGCATAGACTTGCCAAAGAGTTCGAACAGTAGTGACTTCTGGCAGATAGCGGGAATTCTTCTAGGTATTTACATATGAAAGCAGGTGAGTCCAATGAACACAGATAGTATAGGCAATTTCAACAGATATAGTGCTGTTATCAATGTTTATAAACTCCTTACTGCTGTATGGTTCCATTTCCAGCAGTGTGTCCATACCTCCTTTAGGCCTTTATGATCGGTTCCTGAATCGACCTACACACATGTGACGCCCGGAGCACGCGAGTATGTGGGGTTTTGAAACCTGTTACATTCTCTTTGAGATTCCGAATATACATAGTAAACTGCTAAAGAGCATATGACAAATATCTGAACGCTATCAACTAGATCACGGTGAATTAGAATGGTAGATCAGCTTGTCGTGCAAGTAAGCAGTTAACCAACTGTTGGTCATGTAGTTAGTTAACAAGCAGTTAACCTAACTAACTACAACTTTGTCATTATGACTAATTGCCCTCCATTTGATGACAAATGATGACGCTGAATGCCGTACTGCATAACCGAGACAAATAACCACAGGGCAGAGTAAAAGCGATTTAGAAAAATTTGGAGTCAACCCATCTAAAGTGTCAAGCAAAGATGGTAGGCATCATGAGAGCCATTGGTGAGTTGCATTGCTCAGACTCTCGAGCGTGATATGCTAAGAACACCCAGGTATCCAAGGAGGCAAAGGAAGTGCCGATGCTTTGTTCGTTGACCAGATCCCAATACCGAAGCCCAGTCCTGGGCAGGCTTTGGTCAAGATCAAGGCATTCGGGCTGAACAGAATGGACTTGCTTCAACGCGAAGGAAAATATCCTCTTCCTCCGCAAGCTCCTAGCACCATGGGGGTCGAATTTTCCGGGGTGATAGAGGAACTTGGTGAGAATACAAGCAATGGCTTTCAAATCGGCGACAGTGTTTTTGGCCTAGCCTATGGCGGTACGTGGCATTCTTTTTGATAGAGTGTGTAAGTATTCATTACATTTTGTCAGGGGCCTATGCGGAATACATCGCCGTGTCGACCAAGATGTTGATACACAAACCCTCGGGGTTGACATGGGAGGAGGCTGCAGGAATACCAGAGGTATGCTTGACCTTCAACTCCTAGGGAACCAATTTGTAATAACCATGGCACCATCTCCTTAGACCTGGATAACTGCAAGCCAGGCGCTCTATCTGATTGGCGAATTCAGCGCTGGAAAGTCCGTTCTTTGGCATGCAGGGGCTTCATCCGTATCAATTTCCGGGATCCAACTTGCGAAGATCGACAAAGCATCTGCTGTCTATGTGACTGCAGGTTCGCAAGAAAAAATTGACTTCTGCGTACGTGAACTAGGGGCTACTGCTGGGTATAATTACAAGAGTCAAGACTGGGCCTCCGAGATACTGAAAGAAACGAATGGTCGTGGAGTCGACATTATCGTCGATTTTGTGGGCGCCGCACATTTTCAAGGTAATCTTGACGTGGCCGCACGGGATGCACGTATTGTCCAACTAGGACAGATGAGTGGTTCTGTCCTCCCTGCCAATACTGACATCAGTGGAATCCTGAGGAAGAGATTGAGGTTCGAAGGCAGCACTCTTCGCAGCAGGGATGAAGATTATCAGGGGAGACTACGTGATCTTCTGGTGGACCATGCTTTACCCAAATTCAACGACCAAACATTCAAGGTCTTTATCGAGAAAGTTTTCGCATTTGAAGAAATCGCGGATGCCCATAGGTTGCTGGAGAGCAATCAAACCAAGGGAAAGCTAATATGCACGATTAATTGAATGCAAACTAGCCCGGTTGAGAAGCCAACCACCGACTTAAGGTGGAAGCGGAGACGGTCGGCGTACATACAAATAAATCAACAACGAGATCACTACGAAGGCAGCCATGGTAGAGAACGCAGGTTTAGTATAGGCATAAAGTAGTGGCGGAACGTATCCCAATGGATGTACGCAAGTTTTGTAGATTCTTAAAGACGCCCTGATCCTGTGATTTTTCTTCTTTTCGAGTGCTGGTTTTTTCTGAGCCTCCTTGATTCGACGCTCTCTTTCAAGAATACTATACTATATCTATATACTACTCGGCTGCAAATACAACAACGACGGAGTAGGACTCCGTAGACTCGTCTACTGCATGTAGGACACAAAAGGCTAGATTGTTCCGCGGCGCAGACAGTAACTAACTGGATTAGGATTAAGGAGCGGGACGGAGCAGCACTAGGGCAAGAGTTTTAACCATATGGAGTACTTTATCCCGAATCAAAGTTTTGCTCCAGACAGGCAAGCCCAAAAAGAAAATAGCGAAATTAAAAAAAAAAAAAAAAATACATTAAAAGTATTCTAAGGGCAAAAAGAAGGCGCCCTTAAAGCATTCACTGTTATTTCTTCGAGACGCAGCCGATTTGCTTTACGATTATTTTTCTTTCTTTCTGTTACAAAATCTCTTACACATATTCTCCACTTTTGAACCTGAGAAAGTTCAAAGCAACAAAAACAACATGGCCAAGCGTGAACTCCAAGATAAGGGTAGCACGGAGCATAGGGCGAAAAAGAAGTCAAGAAACGAAAAGCACACAAAGAAGGCCGAGGACTCCAAGGCTGGTGCGCAGGCTTCTGAGACGCAGAACACTGACCTGAAAGAGCCTTCTCCGGCAGTCATAGAGAAATTCCTCGAAGAAAATTCCGTCAAGATCACGGATACCTTAGAGGGAGCAACGAAGCTTCATCCCATTACCTCTTTCTCTCACCTACCTACCTGCAACAGTGCACTGTACCGTCCTCTTGAGTCGTTCAGTTCCCCGACTGCTATCCAGTCAGCAACCTGGCCTTTCCTGTTTGCTGGCCGTGATGTAATCGGCATCGCTGAAACCGGGAGTGGTAAGACGCTCGGCTTCGGCTTGCCCTGCCTGAAAAACTTACAAGACTCGGCGAAGAAGGGAAAGCCTTATAAGCCGACAGCGGTGATGATTTCCCCAACGAGAGAACTTGCAATGCAAATACATGATCAGATCTCGAAGTTCGCAGAACTAGTGGATATCAAGGTAGCTTGTATCTTCGGGGGTGTGAATAAAGATGAGCAACGCCAGGCCTTGAAGACTGCTGCTATTGTCGTGGCGACACCAGGAAGATTGAAGGATCTTCAGAATGATGGCTCAGTCGATCTAGGAAAAGTCAAGTATCTTGTTCTGGATGAAGCGGATCGCATGCTGGATAAAGGTTTCGAACAGGACATCAAAGATATCATCCGCCCCATGCCGGTGTCAAAGCGTCAAACTGTTATGTTCACTGCGACCTGGCCCCCGGTCGTTAGGGACCTTGCTGCAACGTTCATGACTTCTCCTGTGACGGTCACAATTGGTGGAGAGCCTTCGGCTGATCCGCGCGCAAACACTAGAATCAAGCAAGTTGTTGAAGTGGTGAAGCCGCACGAAAAAGAACAGAGGCTTGTACAGTTATTGAACAAATACCAGAAGGGCCCATCCAGCTCGGATAAGATTCTGGTGTTCTGCTTGTATAAGAAGGAGGCTGTGCGTGTTGAGAGACTTCTTTGGAATAAAGGCTTCAAGGTTGCCGGAATACACGGAGATTTGGGCCAACAAGAACGGTTCAAAAGTTTGGATTCCTTTAAAAAAGGCGTCTCAACTGTTCTTGTCGCAACTGATGTGGCAGCTCGTGGCCTCGACATACCTTCAGTCAAGCTCGTCATCAACGTTACGTTCCCCCTCACCGTTGAGGATTACGTACATCGAATTGGCCGGTTAGTAAAGTACCTCGTCCCCGTATGTTGTGTCTTGCCGACTAATTGGCTCAAAGAACTGGCCGTGCTGGAGCTGAGGGCCATGCCATCACTCTATTTACTGAGGTTGATAAAGCTCAATCCGGAGCGTAAGTAGTCATTGTCTTGGAAGCATTCCGATCAATTTTTAACCGAGACTAACATGTTATAGTTTAATAAATGTTCTAAAAGCGGCTAATCAGGATGTACCCGAAGATCTTCTCAAATTCGGGGCAACGGTCAAAAAGAAGCAACATGACGCATATGGCGCTTTTTTCAAGGATGTCGACACCAATAAGACATCAACCAAGATCGTTTTTGACGATTGATGATGACTCATTCGCCTTTAGACTTTGGAGTTCGGGACGTTTTGCATTTCACCAGCTCGCGGGCTTTTGTGTAATATATGAACAAAGATTTTCTCTCGAGATAAGACCTATACACACCATTAGACTGTGGCTTGCATGTAAATAAAACGGTGAGACTTACACGAGAAGAATGTACATAGCTCCAAATATCAGTGCATCTCTCGTGCTATAGATATCAAGAGCATATAGACCCTTTGAGGTAAGAACTATAGACATCGTGACACTGGCGATACAGGTAAGCGGCCGTGGGCTAAATTCAGCAATAGCCATACCGCTTCCGTGTCGAGACATGAATTTCCGAATGAAGGAAAAGCTCCAGATGATGCGAACTGCCATGTTGACAATATTGGCATATACCATTCCGTGGGCACCGAGAGCGCCGACTTTCAAGAATAAGTACGCGGCAGATGCAAAGCATGCTGAAAACACCCCCATCCATACCGCTTGTCTGCGTAGTTCTGCCGAGTTTGCTGCCGATGAGACAAATGCTTCACTTATACCGTTGAAAGCTAGAAATGGTATATAGTAGCAATAAAGTGAAAGCAGGCTGCTGATCTTGGGTGAAGCCCAGATGCGCCCGCCTAACAGACGTAGCAATTGAGGTGCCAGAACTGGACCGAGGGGGAACCCCACAATAGCCATCAGACTATATGCATGGAGAACTTCTGTCAACTGAGTTTTAGCAGCATCGATGTTTTTCACACGTAGATGTCCGCTCCCGCCAGAGTTTAGCAGTGAAGAAAAGAGCGTTCGACTGCTTTCTTCAATGGGCTGAAAAAAGACGCGAGCTAGGAGACCCCCGTAATTAGAGGCTAGTGCGTATATGCCTTGGTCTTCTAAACTCGTCATTGTTGCCAGCATCATTGAATCACCCTGGGTGAGAAGATGTTTTATCATCGATTGAAAGAACACATTCGTGGATAGCCCTATCATCGGCCATGAGAACCTTCCCATGAAATACTCTGATCTGTCCCTGGACATTTGTATCAGATAGGATATTGTAAGTTTACTTTCCCATAACCTACCTTGACTTTATCTTTGTGGGAAGCATAGAAAACTTCTGCGTGTCTGTAATCCCCGACAGGGCTAGCATATAGCCGCAGATGAGAGTGGAAGAATAACAGAGATAACCAATTGAGAATGGGAGAACGCCAATGCTGTGGCCGGCTCTGGAAGCCCACGCACAGGCAAGGCAGGTTGTAAGGCTTTTTACAAAGGCTGCACTCATTTCAACCACTGCACGTTGTCTGTGTAGCATATATTGCTGCACTACAGTAAAGAAGGGCTCAGTGGAGAGCTCCATAAGGGATGCAATGGATGTGATTATCACGCTTGCGTAGTAGTAGGGTAACTCTGACACCTCTCTCGATGCTAGCTGTACATAAGATGCAGCAAATGCCAGAGCGAACAAGAACCCCAAGGCAAGGCTCAAGTAGGACATGTTCACTACTGACTGCGAGGCTATGGTTCGGGCTTCAGATACATCATTGCTCCTTTTGGGAGCTGCACCAGTGCTGTCCTTGTGGGAATACGTGGTGAGGGGCTTGAGTTGCAATGGCTGTCTTTGTATAGCCATCCTGATACTTTCCCTGGAGAAAAATAATATGGAGATGAAGTATAGCTCCAGTTGGGACGCAACACCCATTATGGCCGGAGGTAAGCTCCTCAAAACCAACTGATTGGCGGTGAAAGTGAAAATCCTCGAGGCCAGTTGAACGATAATCATCATCGTCGTCCCAGATGCTGATGATGCCAGCATTGCGCTGACATTCTCATCTACTGCTGACATGTAGACAGGATAAAGCCCGCGGGCATCAATGGCTCTCTTATCTAAGGATCTCTGTGTTTTCGTAAAGCTGGCCCTGCAGCCCGGACTTACAGCAGAGGAAATGAATCTCACTGGTCGACCCCCTGTCGAAAGAGGGAGAAAGGATAAAATAAGAATAAGCTCGGCGAAAGAAGTCCGAATATTGCTCAGCATTGGCAGGAAGTATATGGGTCCCGCCGAAAAGGCCACGTGCTTTCTGAGTACTAATTTGCGGTAGTTCCCGTTCCCGTGCTCTGGCGTTTATCTGCCAGTGTCTAAGCTCCTCAATTCGGTTTTATAGCACAGGCACAGTTCAACGGCAGCATTGGCTAAGTGTATACAACGAACCGTAATTATATGCGTTACGCTCACGATTAATCGTGTACCTTTTGTATTGTGAAACTCGGTGTTCTGAGATGCTTTTGAAGAACGTGTGTGCAGGTTTTCAGCACACGGGAAGAGTCGCATTATTACATTCTGGTAGTTACTTGCAACGCGCAGACCTCGTACTCAATCCGAAGTTGATAAAGGAAACAAATCCACGCGTTTTAACACCGAGCTACTGGTCATTGGGTTTTCTGCTTTAAGAAGGATTAGCTACATAAATTCACACTGCCTGCATCCAAGGAAGCGCCTCGGGAATTGGCTGTAGCGGCGGCTATTTTAGTTCATGTCAACACACCGTGCGAGGTAATTGGAGTTTGTTCCTTGTGTGTCTAATTGCACGTTCAGTCCATACGGAGCTTCAATAGTTCTATGTGAGAATTGCAGAGTTTGGAGTGAGCATGCCGCTACTACACTGGGCTCAGCAATGTCACGATAACCTTTTGAAACCTCAGGACTCGCTTGCAATGAAATTGCAGATGAGCCCACTGTAGACCCGGCCTTTAGAGCATACGATTGATGCCAATTTAGCAATCATACTCTCGAGATAACCAATTTGCTACCCTTTTCGCCATTATAGTTCACCACATCGGCCGACTAGTATGGAAATTTATGCTGAATACAGGGTTCCTAGCTGGTCATGTTTGAAAGAAGAGTTGTTCCGCCATGTACTATGTAGTAAATACACGATAACGGAGGAGCTGGACGAAGAAAAGCAGTTCAAAAAGTAGTACACAGCTACTACCGGAGAATAACCGCTAACCCGCAGCAAATGTGCTCACACCTGGTCGGATGGAAAGCCCATGTTGATATTATACATCGAAAATCCTTTTAGAATGGCGGAAGGAAAAACGGGTATCCTCCATTCTTCGTCTTGAACACACTCAGAAGGAAGCTGTACATACCAAGAAGTACGGAACCCCAGATGATCACAGCTACCTGCTGTGCCTTGTTGTCTGCGATACGGGGCACCTTCATTGCCAGGGCAATTGTTGCAAAAGACAGGACGGCATCTGACAACACGATTAGCGAATTGGCATCAGATCCACATATGAGATAAGACGTATGCATGTGATTGTGGGCAACATACAAATGGCAGCAACAATCTGCGTCTCCATGCCGAACTGGTTTGAAAATCCACCAGCGAAGTAACTAATACCCCCTCTACCGTCTCCGGCAACATATGGAACTTTGCGAATATGATTGAACATGTGGCCACTTGTGAATAAGAGGATGGCAATCAGGCTGAAAGCAGCCCACAAGTTCCGGTTGCGAACAATGGGAAGAACATAGGGTGACAAAACCGTGAAAAGCGTCACAGCACCCATCAAAATGGTTATGCCGGAGACAAGTCGCATGTAGTTGATCGGACGAACAAGTGGCGGCTTCGGGCCCTCTGGAAGCTGACGGTTCATCCATGTATATAGCTGTTCAGCAGAAATCGGGCTGTAGGTCGAAGTCAGTGATAATCAATCGACTAAAAGATTCAGTGTATAGTTACCCGCTGAAGTCGAATCGCAGAGGTGCGTCATCAATCTTGGCGAAGGGGCCAACGGTAGGAGGAAAGACCAGGAGGACAGGCGCAGTTTGGAGCATCAACTACTCAATGTCAGCTAAGATTATTAAACTGCTAGGCCATATATTTGCTAAATACCTTCTGAAAGGTGCCTTTTCCATCGGAAAAGTCAAGGGTCCCAAAGAGCATTTGAAGTCCATCGGGCTTGGAACCTTTGTTCCAGCTTCGTGCGATGAGCTCCCATTCAGGTTGAAACTCGCGACAGAGGATACACCCATAGCGAGCATCTGCGGCTGTCAAAAGCACTGCAACATGATAGTCGCGAGGCTTAGATGTTATGTCTTCGTACGACGAGTCGGTCAGTTCGATTGGAGCGGAGCGAGAGAGTGAACGATATCTCTCAAATTTGTCTGTGTCTGCGGCGCCGCAAGAAGCAGAAGTGACCATGCAGAGAAAAGACACAAGAAGGTTGAAGAGCTTCATTTTGGCATGACAATATAATCTTCAGTTCGTGCGGTGAAAAGGAGGCGGATCAGCAATCCGCGAAGAAATTGGCCATGTACGTAGACAGTTCATGGATGGATAGGCAGCGGAGCACTACATATCCGAGAAGCCTAGGATGATAGGTGTCCACAACGCGTACCGCTGAGCGGGTCGCTATGCGGGTACTCCATACTTCTTACTCCTTAGACGGTAGCTACAAAGTAGATAAGTACAGCTACTACTGTACGGAGTAAAGCAGGAGACAACTATTTAGATCCATATTGCCGGTCGGTCGGGTGGAACAAAGTCGCTGTTCGCTGTTCGCTGTTCGCTGTTCTTTAATTTACTGGAAGTCGAATTGAGAGCAAAAGCCGACCGATCTATCTATAATCATCCTATTCCTCAACAACCAAGTAGGGCGCCAATACAACATAATTACCCGATAGTAGTGTTGTGGATGGTTTAGTATGCCACAAGAGTGGATGAAAGTCTATACGTCAAGTATATTTGTCTCAGCAATACAGTAGATGACTATTAGAACATCCTGTGTTCACCAAACAATAGTCACTGATTTGTGGTACTGTGCCAGCCACTATCGATGATGAATGGCAGTAACACCGAGTCCCGCTCACTCTACCACTTCCGCGGGAGCGCTCCGGCATCCTTCCGCACGTCACTCATTTTTATTCCATCCAAGTTTGCCAATGTTGCAACCATGCTACTCGTTCCATCTGTGAAGTGTTCGCCTGCAACACAGGGCATTGGCCTACTTAGTTCTCAGATCCTGAAGCGATTTTCATCCTCAAAACGATGGCAAGCCCGTCAGCTCAAGGACCGTTTCACAAGGGAAGCAGCAGTGCAGGGCCTGAAAAGCCGCGCGGCTTTCAAGCTCCTTCAAGTACTCAACCAACATGACCCGCCATCCTATACATCCTGATAATTTCTTTGAATAGATAGACGAGAAATACCACATATTTGAGAGCGGACAAACGGTTGTTGATTTAGTATGATAGCCACAATCAAGATGCCTCAACTCAGGCCATGTTGATTGACAGTATGATCCATCCAATTTAGGGTTATGCTCCTGGCTCCTGGTCCCAAGTGCGTTAGGTGCAGAGTGAAGACTAAACCAATTGCACCTTGGCTAACACCACACCAGGTAGCAGTAGCTAGAACGCAACCACACGGCCGCGTCCTCGGCGTTGACATTATCCCGGCCCAGCCTCCTAAAGGAGTATCTACGATTCAAGGCAACTTCCTCGACCCGAATATCCAGGCCTATGTTCGAGAATTCGTGCGCGACGCCAATAGGGGTAGGCCATACCCTCCAAGTACGATCTTGGATGCCGATTACGATGACACGCAGCTCAAATCGGGGGAGAACGCGAGCTCTGATAAGCAAACAGATCCCAAGCAATGGGATTGCAAATACTCGGTAGATGTTGTTCTAAGCGATATGTCCGCTCCCTGGTTCCAAACGACAGGGTTTGGGAAAAGAAGTCTAAGTGATCCGTATAACAGGATGATGAATACAAGCGGCATTAGTTTCAAAGACCATGCAGGTAGTATGGTAAGTTGCTGAGCTTGCCCTATGCTTCGATGGTTTCCCTCAGCTGATGGATGATAGGATCTTTGCCACGCAGCTTTGCAGTTCAGCCAAGAAGTTCTCCGCACGGGAGGGCATTTAGTCTGCAAATTCTACCAAGGAGCCGAAGATAAGGCCCTAGAGGAACAGCTCAGGGAACTATTTCGGAAAGTCCATCGCCTTAAACCGGAATCGTCGCGCAATGTAAGCATTCACTCGCCTCGTCAAACACAGCAATAGACAGGCCTTCAGGGTTCTGAACATCTGCACAGGAATCCAAAGAATCTTTTTTCATTGGTCTCAGTCGAAAATAGTACCCTGAATAGGGGATCCTGCGGCAATTGATAAAACATGGTATGATGAGTTGCTGAAAACTCATTGCATTTGCAAACTAACATGCCCCCCCCCTCCTTAGCATCAAGCCGGGCTCAATTATATCTCCTCTGCTGATTCGGAGTCCTCATCCCATTCTACATCAGCAAGTGAAGCCTCTGCTGTAGCATGCACCTTGGGATAATGTCAGTAAATTTCTTGAATCCAAAAAAACAGGGAAATTTGGAGGTGGCTAGAGATCGCATAACATAGAACAAGGCAAAAAGGAAGGCGCAATGAAGATAATAGACTAACGAACCTCCTTAAGACCGCTCAGTTCTTCAACGTATCCAGGCTCATTCAAAGCCCTTAGGACGAAATTCCAACCGTCCTCTTTATAAGCGCGGGTGATGTTATCTGAACAAGCGCTGCAGTGTTTGTAGCTTCTGCCTGTGACTGGAATATTTTCAAATGTCGCAAGGAATCCCCTGACTTGATGTGGCACGAGCCCCAGTGGATGGTCTCCTCGATCATCACTGCGCGAGATCGGGGCCGGTGCTGCTGCACCCAGGGGATGTTGAAGAAGGGAAACAAGCAACTCTACCAGCAAAGCCGAAGCTATAGCCGCCACACCGGGCCGAGTAACGGTGCACTGCTGATCAAGTGTTTGATCTTTGACAGACTTTCCAACTCTTAGCATAGTGATCTATAGGCTGGAGTGGCTTTACTTACGTTCATCGGTGCAACGACATCGTTGCAAAAGTAGCACCCGAGTTCTGCTGATGGCTCTGTAATTGCTTTAATCCCATGCCGCATGACCACATACGAATCGAAACCGAGGGCCGCATTCATAACTATCTTGCCAGCCGCCTTCCCCATGACAGTTGGCAGCCAGCGTGCTTCGCGCGTATCCATTAGGAGAAAAATGACATCATGCTCTTCAACAAGTCTCTGGAGTACATCAAACTCCGCCCGAGACTTTTCAGCATCAATGACAGGATGTCCAACCATGGGTACAGAGAGGACATGGCCCGTAGAGTTGACTCCCGGGTAAATCTCCAACAGGGCCTGAGACGCTCGAAGAGCCTTCTTCACCCCGCCGTCTATACAATCGACAAAATTGTAAAGTGGTTGCCTCACTGGGTTAGAGAACGATACGGACCCATTATCCACGAAGGTGATTTTAGACACCCCCCAGCCCTATTCTCATTGTCAGATGCCGATACATAGACTCAGATCTCCTGCGGTTTCCATACCATCAAATTCCTCGCAACATAGCTCCCGAGGGTTCCTGCCCCCAATAGGAGGCACTTGGTGCGCTTGATCTTATCAAGGTCAAGATTAGGGCTGATACGCCATTTCATGAGTTTCAGATTTAGATCGACCGACTGGTCGGCTAGTCTGAGGATTGTATCAGTATATGATACAAAAGTCTCAATAAAAAAAGATGGTGTCCTACCTCTTAGGATCCAAGTACTCTGTGAGGTCGACGAAGCGACCTGTCAATTTACCGGCTGGATTACGCTCCCAGCCGGTCACCTTCGGCATGTCTTTGGTCGAACTTTGCGACTCTGCAGTAGCCGCTGCTTGCATGTCATCCGATTGCAGAGTCAACACTGTGCTTTTGTAATGACCGCGGCTGGGGTGCGGCTGCATGTCACGGTATCTCAGTACCTGGATCTTATTGAGTCCCCACCGTCGTTTTACAAGTACCAGAAGATTTCTCAGCATCCATCCGGGTGCATCCTCATAGTTTGAAGGATCAGCGAAACAGACGAAGCAGTCTTCAAATCTCGCATCTCTGAAAAAGCCATCCTCGTAGGCTAGGAGAGGAGCAACCCTCCACCGTGGGCCATCGTGATTTATTGATTCCGTAAACCCGTCGGTAACTTCTGAGTTGCTTTCGAACATTGTTCCATTTCTGGCACCATGGAGTCTCCTAGCCAAGAAAAACCCTCGCTGGCGGTCTTCTACACTGTAGCTCCACGTCTTGACCGTCTCCACGAGATTTGATAATTCAGCATCTTCTAGACCCCCAGCCGGTGACACCGCTCCTCTAGTTTGACAGGAGTTGAGATTTTCCTCGGTCCTCTCAAGAAGAGCCCAGGAAGGGCTCGAGTGCAGTGCCGGGAATGCGAACCAATAGTGAAATTTGTATTTCTTTAGATCCGCGTATGACAAAATGAAGAATGACGCAAGCAAAGAGGGGCACGAATAAATAGTGCCATCGCATATGGCATCCCAGACCTAGTATGTCTACAAGTCAGTATGATCCTGGTTGATTCATAAGTGTGTGCCTAACCGTTTTCGCGGACTGCTGGAGAATATGTGCCTTATCGATGTTTGTATACTCCTCAAGTGTATTGACATTCTTGATCAATCCTTCAGCTCGATAAAACCCAACCGGTGTTCTGGTAGCCAGGTGGCTTGTCAATATATATTATTGATCGTAAACACCCAGACCCGTAGTAGATCATAACTCACTCGTCTGTTGTCAGGGCATTCCCATGTATCTGCATTCGACAGGAGGCATTAGGGAGGTCTGTAGATCGAACCTCATAGAGACCTAGCACTTTACGGGCAGCATCGTCAAGCTTGTCGTGATTAATCTTAAGTGAGGATAAAGCCGTATAGAATGGGAACTCTATATCGGAAGCGAACGGAGTGTAGCGCATTGTTGAGCTCATCTCCTTTTGAAGTAGGGTATGACGTTGTTGCGTTCCTCGAGAATAGAGGAGCTATGTAAGTAGGACCATATTCCACGGTGCGTGAAATGATCTTAAGAGTGTGGCGGCCTTAGAACAGCGTCCGCACAATTACAGTGCTTTCGCTATATACTCGAAATATTGTAGGGGTGAGGGGACCTAAGCGTGTCTGCTGGGGAAGAGGGGGTGATCTATTTATCTGTGGTGGGGCAAGAAGTCACAGGGTATAGTCATTAGTAACTTTGTTAGCTACCCCACCCTTGGGATTAAGATACGTACGTTCTAGCCTTGGTACGGCCTGTTGTATTTGATTTTGGGGGTTTGCGCTCCGCTACCTTAAAAGCTACCAAGAACTTATTACTTGTGTAGTAAGGTACATGATACAGTGTTCCTTAGTACTACATCGTTATATACATGTGTCGCTACGCAGTGGTTCTACTATATTTTGCTGCAGGAACCTCAATGGTATCAACCCTGTCTCACATCAGAAGTATATTGGCATGCAAAACACCACTGGCAGTGGTTTCTACAAAATTCCCCAAGACAATATCATAGTGACCACGTGTAGACTTCATATGAAATACTCGCTTTTGTGACATTACTCGAAAATTGAGACATCCCGGACTTTCGCTAACTACGTCATCAGTTGCCCCATGGACGTTCCTGACCACTGGCCTTATATAAACAAATTCACTTTCATTATAGAGGTCTCACAGATAAGATGTGGAAGGATAAATGCATATTTACAGAGATCCGTATGAGGACTAGCGGATGTGAGCCTTGTGACGCAAGGCCGCAAACTTCCCACTATGAACGCCTACCCTCCTCTGTTGGTGTAAAGACATTCGCAAAACACACATGCTAGCCAAGCGAGATAGAAGATTCAAAAAATAGTATATTCACCCACCCGTAGGTGCCGTGTACATATGCAGGTAAAGTCGGTTAAGCGGAGAGTTCAGTATTCGGATAGAGTAAGTCTTCCGTCAGACGCAGGGTCCTTTCGGTAAACCGAGTATGTCAGTTTATTAGAAAAAGGAGCGTGCTTATGTAACTTGCAGACTGTCTCGTGCTCCAAAAATATTGATGTGATCAAGAGTCTCATGATGAGCTAGAAGCATAACTCTAGTTGCCCACTTCAGGCCTGCGGACAAGGAATCCACCATTGTCCAAGTGACGTTTAACATCGCTGACAGTATATTCACCTCGGTGGAACTGTAAAAGGGTGGATAAAAGATCAGTCACCAGGACAGGACGGGTTCTCGTAAGGGTTGAACGAAATACTACTACTTACCATGCCAGCGCCTAGGGCAGCATCAGTCGTAGTATTTTGGAAGACTTCTGCAAAATGTTCGGGTTTTCCAGCACCACTGGAGGCGATTACTGGTATCTTAATAGCGGCTTTCACGTCATTGATCAATTCTAGATCAAATCCGCTGTTGCTTCCGTCCTTGTCGATGCAATTTAGCAAAAGTTCACCGGCACCCATTGCTTCGACCGCCTTCGCTAGTTGTCGGACGTCGAGGTCTCGCGACTCTCTGCCACCTTTAATGGTACACTGGTACCAGCAAAATGCCTGACCGGCGGCATTTGGGTACTTTGTCCGGATTGTATGATGGTTGGTATCTTCTGGGCCGTCCACATAGACACGTTTAGGATCCACACTCACGACCACAGCCTGGTTACCATATGCTTTGGATATAGATTCTATAGCCGTCTTGCCTGTCAGCTTTTCGCCTCCTTCATAATATTCCTCTGCTGCGATAACAGCATCCGAACCGATGCTGACTTTATCAGCACCGGATTTGAAATACATCGTCGCAACATCAAGAGCTGAGACGTGAGTGCCATCTGTATCAATAGTGTCCTTGATACCGCCCCCGATAGTCAGCGGCACGAAAACAGTTTCTGAAGTCCTCCTGAGGATTTCCAGCATGGGAGCATCTGCAACAGGACAATTCCTGAAGGAAGTGATGTTTAAGAACGTGACCTCATCAGCTCCTTGCTCGTAGTACTTCTTGGCCATGTCCACGGGCTTCCCCAAGTTTCTGACTTGGCCTCCTGTATCCACCCCATCCTTTTCACGGACATCATACTGATCTCCTTTCGTGACGACGAGGTCACCAGAATCATTGGTGCGCACATCAAGACAGGCAATGATTCTACGTGTCAGCCCATCTTTCTTGTCCAAGGAGAGCGACGCTTGCGGGGTAAGTGTTTGGAAGC